TCGCTACTAGGTTGGAGGCCATCGCTATTAGGTTGGAGGCCATCGCTGGAGGCCATCGCTATTATGTTGGAGGCCTGGCCGCCGATGGCAAATTCAAGCCATTTGCGAGAGCAGCAAGTTGCCCACCGTCTGCTTCAACCTGAAAAGAGTTTGCCTTTGATCCGGGCTTTGGGTGTGATCCGGGCTTTGGCCTTCTGGCCTATGTAAACAGAGATATATAGAAGAGCCCAGGCTGTTATGATTGGCCACAATGTAATCCATGACTGGGAGGTCTTGGTTGATCGTTGCTCACTCAAGACTCTAATCAATTATGCAGGCCTGCTGGGCATGGAACTTGGAATGCACCCCGGGCCCGGCATTCCCATCAAAGCTCACCATGAAGCTAAGCACGCGTCGGTCTATACTGTATATCTGTAAATTTTGATGGCGACGTTTAAGGATGATGGCTCTGTACACTAACTTGCCTCGAATTGCTGCGCCTGTGCAGTGGCTTGCGTCGTTTCAGGGTGGCAAACTATAGAGGCCTAGAGGCTTGAGCATTGAAACCCAAAAATAGACAATATCTAATGTTAAATCACTTAAGATTGCTATGTTTGCAAAGTCCTTACAAACTGGTACTTACTACACGTCCCCAACACCAAACAAAACCACACACACCGTGATTTGCGCGTATTACCAGCACAAACGATGTGTCGAAAAAAACCTGCTTCAAGTGACATCGCTTTAATCATAAAACTAATGTCTGCTTTCAGGCTAAGGGGGTCAGTCGATATCTCATGGATTTGCGTTGGGTTCTGTGAGCATCTGAACTGCGGTGGTTGGAATTGAATTTTTTTGCTTTCACCATGATGTAGCTATTATTATTGTTATTGTGTTGTTACCAGCATGTGGTTGGCCGTTTCTTGTGCCTCGGCGCGCCCAGACCCCTCAACGCGCAAACCCCGAAAACTAAGGGGGGTAACCCAATCCCTCACAGCTCCTCGCTGAGTCGATCTATTTTAGAGTCTTCTTTCTGCTGATTGTCGTTGTGTGTTCAATACACAAGTTATTTATACACAAAAAACTATACACGAACAACATGTTTATTGAACTATGTTTTCTTCTCAAAACTTTGTCCGACAATAATTGAAAAACAAGTGTGAACCAGGCTCAATGAGAACACAGCCGAAGCAAATCCTAACCCGCTGCTGAGATCAGCCGATTGACTTTTCTCTCGGAGCGGTCACACTGCTTCGTTCAGCTGGTTACTCTTCGATTTCGGGATCTTTCACGGGCTCTTCCTCCTCGATCCCTTCATTAGATTCCTCCAAAGCCATTTCAGCCTCAGGTTCTACCAACTCAACCGCAGGCGTCGCCGTCTCTTCGACAGCAGGTGTTGCCTCTTCGGATTCGGCAGGAACCTGGTTGTCAGGAATCTGACTTTCAGCAGTAGGCTCACTCGTTGAGGCGATCAAATTATCACCTCAACACGGCGATCAAAAAGGATTCCAAATTCAACCAAAGAAATATTAGTATCTAGGTTCGATGCATTTGGCTTTGTACTCAGACTTCTCTTCGTCCGTGATGATGGGCTCTTTGTTCTCCAGCTTGGGCACGGCATCCAAGAGCGCAGCCTAAATAATGGCAAGCTGATGGCAACCATTGTGTCCGCTATCACTCAGACTAGTAAAACACATAATAAAAGAACCCTGAGTGCCACGTGCTTCACATATGGTCAATAAATTCTGCCCAAAGATCGAAGTCCAAGTGTTTCACAAAACAGATACAGCCCACGTGGCTAACGGACGAGAACGAACCCGTAAAGGCAAAGGACCGTAATGGTTCTAGGCTCTTACAATTCAATGCTCAAATTGCATGAAACCTCTAAACACTGATTTGACACAGGTTACAAGTTTGGACCCAAACAACTTGCCAAGAAACATTGATTTCCTTGGTCTCCTTCAAACTCTTTCCATCCAACAAATTTTGGCGAGCAAGTACCTCGAAAATTGAGCTGGGCAAGGCACAAGGTTGACATGATAAGAATCTGAGGGTTGCGGCGCAAATCTCAAAGGTCTTGGCCCGTGGGTGGAAAGCAGACCCTACCTAAGTTAGAAGTCGGCCCACATTCGGTTTGAACCTAAACTTGGAAGCTTGCTAAGTGAGAGACCGACAGAATCTGGCGACCTGCAGCCTTCAATCCCCAGGTGTTCAAGTTCTTGTAGATGAAGGGCACGCTCACTTTGTCAAAAAACTCACCTTGCGGTCTGAGGGGGGGAAGATTCCGTTGAAAGAAATTCCCAGCCAAAACTGGATTAGCCTGCTGCTGAACCTGCTGCAGCCGGCCGCTTCATGATTCGTTTCGGTGTTGGCTCCTCATTACCTGCGGCCTGGAAAAACGATGTGTAGTTTCTTGATTACTCATTGAATGTCAAATTTGCTGAAGCATTCGAGCAAGAAGAGTAATGAACAATTGAAAATGAAGGATAGGAAGCCTCAACATCGGCTCCCTCTTCCGCTTGTTCCCCAATCGCATCTGGGGTTTCCTCATCGCCCACGTTCTTCCTCTTAGCGGTCCCTTTTGCCTTCGCCTTCACCTTTGTTTTGGCTTCCGCCTTTCCCTTACCCTTTGCCTTTGGTTCCATCTTCGGCTTCGGTTTTGCGGCCATCACTTTTGCTTTCGTTTTCGCTTTTGCTTTTGGTTCAGGCACTTCCTCCGGATGTGTTCCCGGCTCTGACTCTTTGGGTTTTCCATTTCTCAGCGCTGACTTCCTCGGTACTTGCTTGGGCTCTGGGGCTGACTTAGCTGTCGCGTGTAAGGCTGCGTTGCTCTCATCCTCCGACTCTGTCAGGGTGGTCACAGGCGGCAAGACTGACATGGTCCGCTTCTGGCAACCGCAAACAACAGTGCAAACCAGACTACTACCTAATATCCCTTTGGGCCACAATCAAAAGCCAACTGGGCTTGCACGGGAAAAGGGCTGGCGCATTCACTTGGAAAACGGAGTCTACCTAGTACTAGTCTAGTTTATAAACCGGATCCACCTGTTCATGAAGTCACAATGTCTTTGTACCGCGAATGCCTTGTCTCGGAACTGCCAGCTCTGCATCACACTGTTACGGGTTTGGATCAGGCACAGCAATGCCCAACAAAATTCCAGAGGCTGGGCTCATATTGGCCGTTGCACTCGACGCTAACTGCCCAGCAAAACCAGTTGCAATGAGTGGGAAGCAACACCACAAATAATAGCTAGGAGCGTTGAACATTGGAAAGGAACCAACATGTGACTCAACATTCGCACCCCTCACAAGTCATGTACATATAAGTCAACCAGGTTTGCCTCCATGCAACCAGCAGTGAAACGCACCGCGCGCTGGCAAGAAATTCTCATGAGACCCAAGGCCGCTTGCGAGCCTGAACTCAAGTCAGCTTTGCCCAGGTTCCCGCTTCCAACACGATGGTGGCGGTGAGGTACAGCTTTGGCTTCACTGGGACCATTTTGTTTCCTTCCATCTGGACCTGCTGCTGGAAAATGCAGCGCAAACAACATCCTACAAACAGGTGAGTCAGAAGATGCACTCAAACATCCAAGTGAAATGGCCTCCCACAACACATCGACCAACTTCGATTGCGGAATGCTGTCCAGCTTGCCCAGCCACAAAGCGCCGGCTGTGGAGACTTTGGGGTCGCCCTGAACCGTGTTTGGTCTGAAAATGTTGGTGCGATTGCCCTTCGATGGATCCACGTCATAGCAAAAAGGTACTGGGACTCCTTCAGCATCATTGCCCTCTACAGTTGCAGCTGCTTCCTTCGGGCACAATCCCACAACAAACTAATAGTAGAAGACCGGGACATATTGAATTGGGCATAGTTTGGAGTTCAAACCGAACAAAAACCTAATAACCACAATCTGAGACTCGGCGGGCCGCATCTTTGGGTTCACGTCATGGCTGTGGATTACCACGTCACCAAGGCCTTGTGAAGTCGCCAGCCGGTGGAAATACTTGCAGATGGGCATAATGAACTTATCCACCACCACCAAATCCAAGTCTGATACGAAACGCCACGGGAGTCCACTGCTGTCCCGCTTCGCCGTCACGATCTTTGTCTCGAAACTGCCTGTGTTGAATCCCATCCTCAAAAAGCGAAGGAAGCAAGTTGCAAAGTTCAAGTGAAAGCAACATAAAAAATAACAA